TTTATTTTAACAACTTTTAAGTGTATTAAAAGAAGATTAAAAATTTTTAAAATTTATTTTACATTTAACAATCCGTAAGACAAGCCCCTATGAGGGAAACAGGGTAAACTCCCGCTCGGAATGCTTTAAAATATGGCAGTGCCTACGATGCAGAATTAAATGAAACAAATATGCAAAAAATACACAATTAAGTCTTAAGTTTTCACATTTATGAGCATTTTCAGAAAATCTTTGTTCTTGTAGGGAAAAAAGAAGCAGTTCACAGATAATGTTGATGAATTGAGATCAGAAGATTAAAAAAAAAACTCTGGCTGCCAAAAAAAAAAAAAAGAATATAAAAAATCCAGGCTCTTGACGAAAAACAAAAGAAAGGAATGAAAATATGAATCGTAATCGATCAAAGGATCTAAGTGATGAAATTCTGAAAATTCCACAGGGAAAGCCAATGAGATTTTTTTATTTGACTACCTCTGCTCAAAATCCTTGAAACCCTTTTAGTTGATGCCCTTATTGCTGAACACACTTTTCTGCCAGACAGTGAGATTTGGATTAAAAATCCATTTTAGGCAAACACTTTGAAATACGCTGAATAAGGAACCCACTCTCCTCTTGACCAAGTAAGGGTAAGGATTCTGCAAAGAGTTGCGTTTGATTTGAAATTTTTCATAATTTTACTATAGGAATGAACTACATAGTTTATTTATTATCGTTATCACTTATCAGCGTTGTTTACTTGAACAAAGATTTTGTTACCATGATTTTAAAACAAAAATTCTGTGAAATCTTTCAAGTTTGTAAAACATCAGAAATAACAATCTGGTTCAGGTTCAATATTATATTTATTAATGTTGAGATAAGACGTCAAAAACCTGAAATAATACAAATACACACAACATATAGACGACACATAGACAGACATTTAGACAGATAATTAAAACATAATAGACTTTACTTTAGAATAGAATCTTACCGGGACACACACAGGAATTTACAAATACTACTATCTGTATAATGATATTGTAGAGTACACATCTAACCAATTCAACGGCTAGGCTCAGAGTGCCCGATGTTAGTGCGTGAAAGCGGGAATTTGGTGAATGGGATAAAGTCATGTGACCGTCTGTCCTGTGCCTAAAAATAATAACTACCTCATTCACACAAAGTCTTACACACCACATTCTCACATATACGCAGCGCAAGTATAATACGGCATTAAATTATACATAACCCTGGTTACAATGCTATTATAATATTTTCTTTTACAGTTTTTCATTTTTCATAACTTATTACATTTTTGTTTACAAAAAGGAAGAACATTCATGAATAGTTCATGAACATTCCTAAACTTTTACAAATTATTCATGGATAGTTCATGAAAATGCATTGATTAATATATAACCTATTAATATCATTCATGAACTTTTCTTGAAAGTTCAAGAATATTATTCATGAACTTTTCTTGAAAGTTCAAGAATTATTCTTGATCATTTTGCAGGCATTTAAACAATCCAAGTTTGTTCATGAACAACAAATAATTCTTGAATATTCTTGAACTTCGTTTTCATGAATAAAATCCATGAAATCATGAGTGTCCAATTTTAACTTCATGGGATCTTCATGAACAATTCATGAGCTGATTCAGGAATATAATTCATGAACTTTTCTTAGAAGTTCAAGAATTATTCTTGATCATTTCGCAGGGGAATTCTCCCCTTCAAATAGCAATCTAAAATTAACACACAAAGACATGGTCTTACATGGGGTAATTTAACGAGCTTGTTTAAGCACGCCTATTTTTATGTTTAAAAATAATTTAAAAAAATATTCTGCCACCTTTCCATACACAATTTAATCTATAGCTCCATCCAAATGTTAAATCGTACAATTTGTTTATGTTTCCTTATGCTGGTTATCGCTTCTTAACTCTATTTGTTTATACTTTCCCAGTGTATCAAGTTAATGCTATTTTGTATCTTAGCTTCAAAGAAATTATTTTTGTTTCACTACCACTGGCAACATGATAACACAAATCAAAATTCATTTCATAGCATACCTCTGTAAATTTTCCCTTCTGTTTGTTAATCTGTCGAGTTACAATGAAGCGCATTGAAGTGGTAAAATTGTCCTTTTGGACGAAACGTTCTGAGTCATGTTTTGAACGTCAATTGTTACATAAAAACACGCCCATTTCTTTAGAAACGAGAAAGAAATATTCATCGTAATGTTTTAGGACACAACACTTTCCGCGACAAGCAACATGAGTTACACTGAAATGAGGAATTTCAGAATAAGAAAGAGCTATGTATAGCGTTCCTGCTTATGTAAAACACGCATTGCAACGAATTTGTACATAATTTGTACACACAGTTTGTACATGATTTTATCAGGCTTATCGGAGTTAACATAGCACATGTATCAGTCGAACACGTGCTTACTCGGTGTTTATGTAGACAGTCAATTTCATTGGATGTTATATTTATGAAAAACCTGTTCTACAGGTATTCGAATAAACAAATTGACCGTTTTATCTATTTCTAAAGAAATGGGCGTGTCATAAGATGACAATAAACGTTCTAAAGATAGCTCAAAACGTTCCATTCGAACGGAAAATTTTACCACTTCAATGCGCTTCATTGTAATGTTCTGCAGACTGGTTTGCCTGTCTGATATTCGATATACAGACAGGTGACCAGTAGTGTAAAGGGCCCTCTACCAGCTTCGCTTATTGGCAGATAATAACTCACGCTGACGTAGAAATCTAAATGTGTCTGGGAAACCAAAACAGATCAAAGAGTCAAGAGACATCGGCCGTTACCATGGTTATATCGTTACCCTTTACAATTATATATTTTGGAAATTTCTAGGCCTACATCATGTACATGGACATATATTCGGCTTTTAATAAACTTAATACTTTTTAAAAGTTCTCTACATTTGTTTTTATGCAATCAATATATATTAACATTTCAGCAGGGACGTACAGTATACTGTAAACCAATTTTTATTCGCTTGCGAGAAACTTTCGCGAGGTTCGCGAGAGCCTCGTCATCGCGAATACTTCTCGCCGCGAACGTGTCCTTAAAGTCTCTTTTTCTATTAAAAACAGTTCTATAAAAGCTTGATCGCGAAACTAAATGGTCGCGAAATTGTTTACGCTCAGTAAATAAAGTCGTCGCGAATAAAAGTTGGTTTACAGTATATTATATGTTCTTTTTCGTTTCCACTTAAACGAAACATATTAAGAGCATGTCTACGAGAAAACCATGCAAGAGGTTATGGGAGCAAGGTTCTCAGATCAACTTCAAGTTTTGTGTGTAAATTTCTTCTATAATATGAAATATTTTGCCACAAAATTTTTTTCAGTGTGGTCTCACTTAAGGGGTTAAATCGACACTGTTACTAAAAATAGAATTCTTGGTCCTTACGCAGGGTGAAAACAGGAATTTTATAGGATTTTATATTTAAAAATTCAGCATTTTACTTGATAATGATATAATATATCCATATATGGTTGAAAGTAACAAGATACACTTGTTTCGGAAAATTTTTCATAATCACAAACTGTGCCCTCGTTTAAGTGCAAAAAGGTCACAAATCTGGCATATTTCCAGATTTTTGAAAACTGGTGAAAATATTCACTTTTCAAAAACCTATAACTCAGAAAGTGACGCATAGAATCAACTCAATCTCATACCAATTATTAGACAACATGTATGTCTAGATTATATAAAAAATCTGTCTTTGGACTCTCAAATATCTTGCTGTACTTTTTACCTAAAGTTGGACATTTTTTGTGAATTTTCAAATTTTTTCATCCCTGAACTTCAGCAAGGAGTTATTTTGCTGATTGAGATATTTTCAAAAATTTAAATTTTGCTGTTGAAAAATACCAGTATATTGTACATTTTTGTTTTCAATCAATAATTATTTCTTAGGGGGTTAAATGGGGTTAATTGGGGGGTGGGGGTTTCAGAATTGTATTATTTTACATTTTCTTTGAGCAGGGTGATATTCACATACTGCTTAGTACCTGTTTGTCAATCAAGTAGACCAAGTATGTTCTCTCTTATCTTATAAAAAAAACATTTGCTTGATAGATAATAAACATAGTACACTGGTACCTACTAATAAGTAGATGGCCCCTTTTTAATTTGGAGTTCACAAGGTCAAAGGTCAAGGGTTATAATTCTCGATATACCAGTATGTAGATTTTAATCATTCAAAATCTTGAGGACCCATTGCTTGACAAACATCAAATTTAGTACACTGGTTTCTTGAAAAGTAGAGGACCCCTTAAGATTTTGAGGTCACAATATCAAAGGTCAAGGGTCAAACTGAACAAAAAGGAATATCAGAGCCATTTTCTTGACAGACATATTGTCATGGCAACAAACTCAAAATGAATGAACACGAAGTTTTAAAAATCAACAAATTAAACCATTTATAATTTTTAATTTCATTGCAGATTAAAATTTGAATATTACTCAATAACTAAGTACATTCAACAACAAAAAAATTACAATGCTTGATTGCTTCCTGATATTTTATATTCACTTCCAAAATTAAAATGACCTTGAAATTTTGTATGCTTGAAAAAAAAATCTACTTGCTCAAGTATACATCATGGTTCTGAATTAAGGTAAGATTTAAAAGAAAAAATCACAGTTTCCCCAAATCATATTCTGAATTATTTGCTATACCTGTATACAGGAAATTAGTCTTTACAATAGTGTTATATTTAGTAAAACTAAAGCACTGTTGACCTTGAACTTTGATCTTTTCTAACATAACAAACACTTAAAATTTACTCTGAATTTTTGTGTATTCCTGCAAGTGAAACCTGATACATATTAAATATCAAGGTATTAACAATGTTTAAGTACACGTACCAATAAAATCGTATAAGTTAACATATATGAAATACCCTGAAATTTTGGCTACTAAACAAGCTTCTTCAATCATAAACTGTCTTTTTTTTCTTCATGTTTGGTAACCATTTGGGTTGATCTTGAGGTCTCAAGCTTTCAAAATCTATAAGGTGTATCCAAACTATTCTGTTCAGTATGACCCCATTTTCTTCCTATGTAGCATCCAATAACTTCTGGAGAAAATTTAACAAGCACTGAAATTTCCACTTCTGGTTTAAAGAACAACTGGACTGTCTCCAAATACACAAAAGTAGTACTCAAAGTATGTACCTGTGAAAAAGGACAGTTTTCAAATTAAATTGAAATAAACCATACTAGACATATTCTAAGATTTTTAAAATAAATGTCATGTTTATGATAATGCTACATTTATATTTATCAATTGAAGAAAATGTCATCAAATGACTTAGGTAAGATTCTTCACAAATTCTTCTGGCTATCTTTGAAGAAAACAAGAGCTTCATATATCCTTGAAGTAAAGTAACAGAGTAGGGAAAAATGCATGTGGCAAATCGACAGACAGACAAGGCAATTCCTATCCATGTACTATAGTATACAGTTATGAAATGGGTATGAGGGAAATAGCAAATTTATGATTCCCCGAGGGAGGAAACTATTTCCCGGAGGAAATAGTTCTCTGCGGAGGGGAACTTTAAATTTGCTATTTCCCGAGTTCCCATTCCATAACTTTTTTATCATACTGAAACAATGATAGGCGATTTAAATTTTTTAAACCAGATATTCCGACATTTTAAAAAAAAACTGTAGAGGCATAATTACACATGCATGCGGTTAAACACTTATATGATAAGTGAAGCATCGTGTCCTTAAACAATTAAATTACATGTATTTTTAAAAAGTATTTTCACTGACATTTTGAAAAATTATCATTGTCTTCATTTTGGTAGAATTCAAGTATGATTTTGACATCACACGTCAAAATGTTTTGACGTCATATCTACATTGCTAATAACATGACATCACAGACTCGAGATTCCTTGAACACTCCACCCACTGAACACTTTGATTGGTTAAAATTACTAATAAATATTCATGAGGGAGTAGTCCCAGGGAGTAGCTCTGATTTTCCAGGGAGTAGTCTTCAGATGAGGGCAATAGTCACTTCTCGGGGAAATAGAGATTTTTTTATGGTATTAATTTATACAGAGTAATTACAGTAGAGGTATAATAAGATAACATATCTTTACCATTTTCTTAGCAGTGGTAAGTAATTGGTAATGCTAATGCTGCATCTGCATTGTCTCTCCTCTTCTTATTTCTGAATTCTGATCACAAAGCTACATTGGAAACCCTATGTAGTAATTCTTTATAGCTCCACAGCTGAAAATCCCATTGTAAAGCCCAGCCCTAACCAGGGAAATGAATTTGAATAATCTGAAATTGCACGAGAAATATAAGAATGAAATGAAATATTCTTTACAAAGTATAATTTCCCAGACTTATATTTATAATATTAGTTATGTTTTAAACACAAACCTGTCAAGGAACATATGGAGACCTTTCATTTGAAAAGTCTGCACAAGTATTTGACATTTCTTTTTCCTTTAATCATATATGAAAAGCCGAAAAATCATAACTGTTGCCATCTTCATAACATTTCATTAATACATGTATCTGAAAAAAATATTTTGTTTAATGAGATTCTTTATAATCATGCAGCCCACATATGAGGCAATAATGGTGATTTAATTGACAGTGAAGACCCACCTATCCAATTTATAATGCACCCTATTAGTAAACAGTCTTTGAAAACCCTGGACCTATTCAACTTTTCATTCCCTCTTCATCGCCCCACAAAGGCTACTTATGCTATTTATAATTCTGCAGATGTGAATATTTTGCAATATTGTTGAATTTATACAGATATTTTTATTGCTACATGTACAAGTATCAACCTTGAAATTTCTCTTGACAGGTTTGCTAGGTATATATTCTGGTTCAGTACAATCACTAGATTTAGCTACGTAGGTAATGTTCATAGAAATAAATTACTTTGGTAGCTAAATAAAGCTACTTCAGGTAGGTGAATAAAGCTAACTAAGTAGGTAAATCAAACTACGTATATAGCTAAATCTAGTGATTGTACCAGACCTGATACAGATAGTGTCTTGTAAAAAATCTTCTCTTGTCCATAATCAAGTCCCCATCAAAATTGTTTACTTATTTATTTTTTACATATCAATAAGCCTTTTTATAAAGTACATAGTATCATAAACCAAGATCCACCTACCTGTTTCTTTTTCAAATTCAAACATTGTTGATTTGGTATCATCATCACTACATCCGTCTGGCTACCAAATGAATGTTCGCTGTCAGAATCATATTCATCAAAATCAGAGCCTGAATCTGAAGACTCGTTAACAATTCACGCACCTGAATCTTTTTCTGAGGACGTACAAAACGGTAACAAAACGTCTCAGGATGCCACAATGTTTACACGTGGTTACGGAACCGTACATCGATCCCAATGGTTTTCATAATTTTTTTTATGCATTTTATACATAGGCCACTAGTATATACGTAACAAATTACATTCACAGGAGGGACAATTTTCTTCAAATCACAGATAATTTATGCCTAAAACGATTATATGACAGACATCTGTTTATAAACTTCGTAAACATAATCATTATCTACCTTCTCTACAGAAGAGCGCAACAGGGGAGATAATTCTAACAAAATCTAAATAAATAGTAAAATACGTTTTTTTTTTCCACAGGAAAAGCAGAAAAAAAATATTTTTAGCTTTTATAAAATTAAAAAAAATTTTCATTGTTTATATTTGTAAATATTTTACACAAAATTCATTAAAATTACTGTTTAAAGTAAAACTTATAAAATCATGAATTTTTCAATCATTTGAATTTGAGGTAATTTCATCATGATATAACTTTTCTGTCCTTGAGAGTCCAAAGGTGGATTTTACATATTATTGGGATAATATCCTAGAGATTCGTAAATGCACAAAATTCTGAAAAAAGAAGCGTCACTTTCTAAGAAATGTATCCCTGAATATTAACAAAAAATGAACCATTACCATTTCTTGGCACCATGCCAATATTTGTGCCCTCGGGACAGCCTTCTATATAGGGGTTTTACAAAAAAATTGTTTCTAACTTAATTTTACGACTTATTTCTATGAGAACACATTGCCCTTTTATTCATATATTGTTTTTTTCTTTTTATTTTTAAATATTGAAATTGTCATTTTTACACCAACTTTTTTGCATTTTCCCTTGAATATTGACCAAAATGAATTATTGGCTGTTACTAAAAATAGAAACAACCGATGCAAAAATAAACAACATATTTCTGACTCTCAATGGGTGTCCTTTAAGTTAATAATAAAAATTAGTTTGTTCTTGAGAGTGCCTACCAGAGCATTTTTCTATATATCTGCATGGTTTTCTCGTAGACAGGCTCTTAATAAAAAAATAACAACGCGCATGTGATAGATATACAGAGGCGCTCTCGTAAGTGCAGTTCGATATTATATACAAGATGTACACAATCTACTGAAAATCAGACTTCTTAGATCCACAGGGTGTATATTTAAATTAGATTGAAAATATACATTTCCAACTGTTCCTCTTGTCAACTCAAACGAAACATATAATTAATGGAAACAAAGATCATGATACTTGTGGGGATGGGCGGGCGGGGACTGCACTGAGAAAGAGTCTTTGAATGGCATTTAACTTTTACATACGCTAAAGCGTCCGCGCTTTAACAGAATTTTTGTCAGTAGAACAGGTATTCTATAAATACTTTAACAAATCAGACCGATACTCTTCATATACACTACATAAACACGTGTTCAGTTAATACACGTGATGTGATGACTTCAAGAAATACATTCACTCACACCTTTCGCTTCGCCTGAATGTATTTCAATTACCTTGCCAAGCTCTTATCAAATTATTTACCCTAAATGACTTGAATTAAAGAGAATTGCATTATTTATTAATTGAAAATTACACATTTTTAACATTCAGTTGTTTAGGATGATTCACTGACTCAGCAGATAGTCGCAGCTTATCGGTTTATTGTGGTTTGAATGGAGCGTGGCGGAGTCACCCGAGGATTGCCGATTGGATAAAGCCAGAAATTCCTGGCTTAAGATGGCGGTAGTCACCTGTCGTTTTGTATGAATGAGACAGAAGTCTAAAGTCGTCTGTTGTCGTTTATTTAGCTTCGTAGACAGGTCCAGTCCAAAGACTATTTCTACCTTCGTAGCTATTAATAGCTACCTAGGTATTTAAAGCTACCCAAAGTAGCTATTTTTACCTACTTTTTTTAACTTCTGCATTTTGCGGCACAAAGACCAAACGGCGCAACTTGGTAAATACCATATCTTTTGATACAGTCACACTTATGATGAATACGACAAAATTTTGGCCAAAAAATGATTACTTCCTGAATCGGCAATTTTACATTAGTTTCTATGCAAAATTGATAATATACGAAGTAATCATTTTTTGGCAAAATTTTTGTCATATCCATCATCAGTGTGACTATATCAAGAAATTTTGTGCTCACCATGTTGCGCCGTTCCTGCATTTGGCCACAAAGTGCAAGTAAAGCAGAAAGTAGGTAAAAATAGCTACTTTCGGTAGCTTTAAATACCTAGGTAGGTATTAATAGCTACGTAGGTAGAAATAGTCTTTGGACTGGACCTGGTAGAATCGAAGAAAAATGTTTTAACTTTCATTATTTATGAAAATTATTAAAATTATTACATCTGTTTTTTTATCCCTTGAAAGTTAATTTGACATGAAAAATAAACTGCACATTTTTCAGGTCTTAAATGCCAAGACTACATATACAAAGCACGTTATTATTTTGGCGCAAGATTTGATTTCTTAATCCGTATTCTTGACACCATGTTTAGTAAAAATTGTCGGAGCATCCCTTGTGGTTCCCCGTAGCGATATCTGGTACAGTACAGGCGAAATCGGAATTGAATAAAACATCGCACTTTCTTCTTCGGGGTCCATATAATGCTAAACATTTTATGCAATCACAATAATGATCAATTTTACTGCTCAGTGATATATTTTTTCCGAGAATTATTATTTTACCGTAACTTTTGTCATCCATTTGTCGTTATAATTTTGGCGCAAGATTTGATTTCTTAATCCATATTCTTGACACCATGTTTAGTAAAAATTGTCGGAGCATCCCTTGTGGTTCCCCGTAGCGATATCTGGTACAGTACAGGCGAAATCGGAATTGAATAAAACATCGCACTTTCTTCTTCGGGGTCCATATAATGCTAAACATTTTATGCAATCACAATAATGATCAATTTCACTGCTCAGTGATATTTTTTTTTCCGAGAATTATTATTTTACCGTAACTTTTGTCATCCGTTTGTCGTTATAATTTTGGCGCAAGATTTGATTTCTTAATCCGTATTCTTGACACCATGTTTAGTAAAAATTGTCGGAGCATCCCTTGTGGTTCCCCGTAGCAATATCTGGTACAGTACAGGCGAAATCGGAAATGAATAAAACATCGTACTTTCTTCTTCGGGGTCCATATAATACTAAACATTGTATGCGATCACAATAATGATCAATTTTACTGCTCAGTGATATATTTTTTCCGCGAATTATCATTTTACCGTAACTTTTGAAATCCTGCCTCGAAAAAAAATTAAAACTTGATTGCCTAACAATTTTTTCACCATTTAATAATGTTAAGACGATTCGTATTTAATAAATTAAGAAAAACTATTATATCTCATATACTGTTTTTAAAAGTTATAAGCTTAAATGATGAGGTTCTGTTTAAAGTAAAATTGATGCATGTACGTGTTAATTATGTCGTTACAATCTACATTTTTAGATTACTGATTTATCGTAAAGTGATAGTTGACTTCAAGTTAAGAAAAGACGACATTAAAAATCAATATTTTTTTATGATTTTGCCTATCATTTACCATTTTTAAATTATTTGACTGATTGAATTAATTTAAAGCATTTTCCTATAAATGTATAATGGGGAAATGGATCAGCATGTACTTCTTTTTTTCCGCATTTCTGCATGCATGTGTTATTAGGTATAGAATAGGCTGAAAGTTTTTCACATGGACTTTTCGTCTGTAAACGTTCAGGAATTATTTGGTTTTGTTTTGAACATATTTAATTGTTTTAAACAAAAGGATTGGAAACAAGTTCTAACAATTTACCGGTTTCTTTCCTAATAATATTTTACAATATGTAATGCACACAAAACATGCATTAAAATATAATGCATATAATACTTTCAAGCGATATAAGTGTTAATACATCTATTGATCTATATGTTTTATCAATAAATTTATGAACAACAGCAAAACATTGTAATTAGTTCTTTATCTCCCCATAATAACAGGTTTGTGTCAATTGTAACTAATTATTCAGGCAAAAAACAGCTGGTTGAAAAGATTGTTCCTAGCTTTTGCATAATTTTAACAAGCAAAAAAGTAATGAAAAAAATCTTCATGAATAAAGAGGGATATTGATCATATTGCATTTATATAAATCATAATTATGTAAACAATGTGAATTATGTTTGTATAGCGTTTGCCAGAAGAAGAATAACTTGGTGTATTGATGAATTTTGTACAAGCTCTCCAGATTTTATGGAATAAATTAATTGAAATGGCTTCTCTTCTTTCTAATTTTGAAACATCTGTTCCACTGTTTTACAGCGTCAGGTACAAATGACCATTTGAATGCTCTAAATTACTGGTATTGTATTTCGATATATTCTCATGTTTGTTTGGTACAATATTACTCAAATATTAATTCATGACTAGTCACATTATGAATTTTGAACAAAGTAGTCAATTTTGTAGTATAGCGCCTGAATTTTAGGTTTCGCAACCAAGTTTCGGAAAAAAAGTATTTTTGTGGATGCAAAAAAAGGAGGTCCTGTGACACTTCTAGCAGCAGTTATACTTTTCAAACTTTTCAGAATCATGTTCAAGGAAACCATCTCATACATGTACAATAGAAGCGTTTTGAAGCATATTGGCATATAAAGTATTGGTCTATTAAATGTAATGTACAATTTTGATAGGTTATTTCTACTCAAGTTAAACTTTAGTTTTTTTTTCAAAAATGCCAAGTTTCTTATTACCATTGTTTGCAATACCTTCGATATATGCAGACTTGGACTAAGATTCTGTGAACAAAAGTTAATAATGATTATGTTTATAATCTGCGCCAAAGCGAATTATGTGAAACGGTCCAAAAGGAAATAGCTGTCACGTGTCAACAAGGCCATGTGATATCATAACAAATATCTTTATATAATTATAGCCTAGAAAACTCTCTTTATGAATTAGGCCCCCTTAAGTACGTAACTTAAAAATAAAACCCAAAACCATCTTGGTAATGCAGTGTTGTTTTAAATGCATTTTAAGCTCTAGGAAGCCCTAAAGCCATGTATGTCGTATGTACAATGAAAATTATTAGACTAAAATTATAAGAACTTATTAATTGTATCATTTCTTTATATAAACTAGAACTTAATTATCCGTAAACTACAAATTCTAAGTCAATTGCGTTATAAAGATATCACAATTCAATTTGGATTTTCTGAATTTTCTCCGACTAGGAAGAAAATAAAAGATTTAAATAATACATTACGAAGAAGATAAAATCGTATTATTATATAGCTAATAAATAGTCTCTATTAAAATACTACCAAAAATCTAGAGAATTTTAGCGTGAATATCTTGACGTTTTATTGAACGCTGACTTTGTTTTACGTATAAAAGTATGCTCGAAACATTCCGAATACGAGCGTTCAATATCGAACACCCCGTTGTAAACAAAAAAGTCGTCTGGTCAAATTCTCAGAGCTAAATTAACGAAATGAAGTGGCATCTAGGTAAGATGTTTTTATTTTCACACAAAATGAAATTATTTATTAAGAATTTAGTACGTAGTAGACATATTAAAGCCTAAATCAGCAAATCACATCGCTCGGTAGCGTCATCGGAATGATGCGATATTGAACACAGGACAGACGTTAATTTGAATACAGATACTAGAAAATTCATTAATTTGACTTTTTTTCTAGTTGGAACAGTACGTATAAATTATGTGAAAATGTTTTAGCTAAATAATAAAGGAGTTATTGTGTACTGTCTCGTGATTAGCAGACAGTTAGTTAACCATTCACAATAACTGCATCCACATAGAATACCCCAAGTCCATAGATGAATTCTTTATTGACTTAGATATGTAAGATGGCATGTATGTGTGAGTGTGGTAAAGGACTACAAAGAAAACGAAGGACTAATAAGACAATGTTCACAATATAACATAAGAGTAGTGTACGAATTAACCAAGTTTGATAATGACCGTTATGGCGTTTCATAGAAAATTGTTTCAAACAGCAATGTTTATGCTTCAAAATCTAATATTTTTTCATAAAATCATATTATTACAAGTTACTTTAACTCATTCTTATCCAAATTCAAGAAAACAATAAAAATATTTAGTAACTTTAAGCAACATATAACAAAATTCTCAGTCGTAGATAAAGTAATGACAATAATGGCACGTCGTACATTGCGCACATGCGGTTACCAAAAAATCATAAATTTCTATCGTTTAAGCTCAAGACTGCAGTTATGCATTACACATCAAATGTAGTACATATAGTAGAACAAATTTACAGATGTATTCAATTACTTACACAGTGATTTCCCTAATCTTCCAAAAAATCAAGACATAAACTAGCCTTTCCACATAAAATTGTAAAACCTGAAAAAAACAATATTTAACATTTTCAAATATCTTTCTACTAATATTACTTAAGACTGCATTGAATTTTGATATATTCATAGTAAGAAAGAAGAAATTATAAATAATTGAAAACTACATTTTATTCTTTTAATGAAACATTTGTTCAAAGAGGGAGGTAATCCAATTACAAATATAAGACTGTAATTTCAAAGAAAGATAATTCATTTTTATGAAAGATAACTCTAAAAAATCAATAAACCTTATAGTCTTTTTCAAGAATTTGTGTAGCAATGATCCAACTGTGTACTGTCTGAAAATTAAATAAATACTCATTTTAATGACTAAATATTCTTAGGTTACATAGTTATAATGAAATATTAGGACAATTTTAATCCCAGTAATAAATTACATCCCCCCAAAAAGCAGTGTATTCAAATAGGAAATGTAAAATGCACTTACTAAGGATAAACAAATTTCCGTCCTTCAAATCTGTATAAAATTCCTTTTCTGTTAATTCATAAACATCATCGTCCTTCTCACAACCATCCAGCCAATACTGCACCTGTTGTAATATATTTGTATAAGTCAGTTATGTTCATAATGAGGCAAAATATATTAAAATCTACTTTACTTAAAGACACAGACATGTAACACAAAGTAAGACATTACAAATACAAGACATACATATATAATTTACTTTAAGATAAAATGCTTTAATTTCTTAAATATTTAAAGTATACCATATTGCTCAAATTTTAACCACCTCACACCACTGGAATGTTATACTTCATTGTAACGAATTGTGATGGGTTTTGAAAGGAATAGTTTAAAATAAGAAGAAATTTTACCTATGTGGAGTTTGAAACAATACAAGAATAAAAATGTGTTACTTATTTTCAATTTAAAATTCTATACACAAAATGATTTTTTTAATTTACTTCTCAAATAAAGTGTACCAAATGTTTAAGTACTGTTTATCACTCCATAGTCCATACCCCTTTTTAAAACACATTCAATAAGTTAAAAGATGCACACACATCAGACACATATATAATTCATACTGACAGTGTCGCCTGCATTGGTATTATTTTTATTTCAGACTGACAGATGGACAAGTACCATAATAAGTGATATCCCTCTGTATTATTTAATAAATACATACCTTAAAACCTCAACTGAATAAATCTTTTTTTTTTGTCTTTTTTCTTTTCTTCTCTTTTTTTTTTAATGTCTTTAGGAAAAATCCTCAATGAAGAAAAACCAAAGATGAATCTGAAAATAAAATTCATAATATATATTTAATTATTTATCATTTTTAAAAAAAAATGTCATTAATAATTTAAAAGAATTGTAATAAATTCTTACATTTTATATGTGGCAAACTTTATAAGTGTTCTTCTAAATATTGTAAAGAAATTACCCTTGGGTTTTCCAACAAGGTGTATGTACAGGAATAAACAAACAAGCGAAAGAATATTTACACACAGTCTCTGGCTTGGTAATCAGTGAAATCTGGAAGAAAAAAATGCTTATTGTTGCAAATAATTGTATGGAAGCAATGACATTTAAAGAAATTCTATTTACCTTGATTATCCAGGAAAGTTTATTTACACCTCATAAAGCATCCCAATATAACTGGTGAAATTTGTCTGCAAAAAGATACTAGTATATAAATCACTTTTTTCCTATGATATATTAAAAAAGACTATGATGAAAGGGAGGTAACTCAATTATTAGAATGGTTGAAACTATTGGGAGGCATAAAAGTAATTGAATAAATTAAACTCTAACTTGATTTTTCGTAAATATATATTTTAATATCTTAAATTTACATATATCAATTAATTATTGAAGCAAACTATGAGTGTGCCCTCATGTTGCCATTATAATATCAATTTTCCATGTCACATTACTGAGGCATTAATCTTTAAAAAATCAGCAAGAGAAAGCCATAGCTTCCAAAATTTCAGTAATCGTACATATTGTAGCAGTATGTCTACCGCTTACGAAAATGGGTGAAACTTGAGCGTACCCTATCATTATCCTCCAAAAAAAAAATTTATTCATATTTTCATTACGCCCGTGTACATAATAAAATACCATTATTCGTGCTTTACGCGATTTTCCAAGAACAAAACACTGTATAAAAGATGATTTATACTCAAAACTTACCAGCATTACTCAATTTTTGTTATGTCAAGGTCCTATCTTATTTTATATAATTAATAACAAAAAATACTTACTTACTCCGAGCCATATGAAGTCAACATGGCCGACTCCGAACAAGTTCTGCAATAGATTAGAGTTATCGTTCTTGGCAAAGATGGCGTTATCTGGAAAGGCTACATAAACAACAGATCAACCGCATGGCTTCTAAGACTTATTTGACAGCTCGTACATGAAACAATTCGTACGAAGGACGGAACACTCCACGCCTGATATCTCCTAGATATCACAAATATGACTAGAATAAACAAACTGCACTATGTAACTGATAGATAACACAAAAACTAGTTGACAAGATAACATACTATGACTAGATCTCTAAAAAAATCGTCTTTACAAATGCTCTATGACTAATCTTGGTATACATCTTAAGTTGAGACTAATAAGACAAGTTCGTTGATGGGACTAGTATAACGGCAATTTCCTGCAACTCGAACACGAACTTTACGAACAACTTTATCGGCGCAAGGAAAGGTCTCCTCGACAATACCCAGTGGCCAATTGTTTCTGTTAACGGCTTTGTCTCTCAGAAGCACAATATCTCCACTTTTTAAGTTCGGACGAACTTCTGTCCACTTGCAACGCTTTTGTAGGGTTGTTAGGTATTCGTCTCTCCAACGTCACCAGAAATGATCCGACAAACTTTGGACTCTTCTCCACTCTGCACGATAAAGATCTTTCTCTGTAAACTCACCAAGATTCCTTGCAGAGAAGGCATCCGCAGTCTTCTGAGTCAACAATGTTGCAGGGGTAAGTATGTAAGGTCATTCAGCATCTGTAGAAACTGGCACAAGAGGTCGGTTGTTCAAGATGGCTGCTACTTCAGTCATAAATGTGAAAAGTACATATTGCGTGAGATGTTTGTCTGCTACTTTCGAGAGCATAGCATCCAGTATTCTCCTTGCTGAGCCGATCATCCTCTCCCATGCTCCTCCCATGTGGGACGAGCAAGGGGCATTGAAGATCCAGATAGTCCCTGACTTATACAGATAGTCTTTGAGTTCTCCATCCTCCACATTTACTGCATCAATCTTCAGATCGTCCGTGGCCCAAACAAAATTAGTTCCCCGATCTGAACGGAAGATCTTGACTTCCCCTCTGATGGCTGTAAACCTCCTCACTGCATTGATGAGTGCGGATGAAGACATGTCCTTGATCAACTCTATGTGCACAGCACGCGTCGTCAGGCAGGAGAACATAACTGCCCACCTCTTGGACTGAGCGCTTCCACCCCGGGTTCGTCTAGTCATGATATTCCAGGGCCCGAAGACATCAACACCAACATTGGTGAATGGGGGGCTGGTTTCAAGTCGATCAGGAGGTAGATCAGACATCTTCTGGAATTCCTAGGATTCTCTAAGTTTACGACATGGAACACAGTTATGGATGTGAGTACAGATAAGCAACTTAGCCCCAGTTACCCAGAAACCAGCTGCACGTAATGCGCCTTCTGTGATATGCCTGCCTTGATGTTGTACATTCTCGTGCATCTGACCAATAAGGAGCTTGGCGATGTGATGCTTTCCAGGAATGAGCAGAGGGTGTTTCTCCTGTGCAGGAATATCAGCATGTTTAATTCTTCCACCAACGCGCAACTTTTTCTCAGAGTCTAGAAATGGATCCAAGGTAAGAATATGGCTGTTCCTGGAGAGAGCTAGATTTTGTTCTATGCGAAAAATTTCTGTAGCATAGGTCTCCCTCTGAACTGTGCGCACAATGAGCCTCTCTGCTTCTTGATACATCTCTACGGTCCTTGCTCTTCGAGACTCATCTGACTTCTTCCTATTTCTGATGAACTGTTTAAGGAAGACAATGGCTCCAACAAATCTTCTCCAGTTGGAGAATCTCTCAAATCTGTGTGATCCTAGTTCACCACCATAACCCAATCTAACTTTGGTCGAGTTTACATTGACTTTCTCAATGGGACGCACTTCCTTGTCCTCACAAGGGTTCACTAGAGAATAAGAGTCCTTAGATACTTCAAGCACACTTGCATCACAATGATCGTCTAAAAAATCCTTTGGTCCCTTCATCCACATACTGTTGCTCATTTTGTCCGCAGGTACGGATCTGGTTGCCAGATCGGCTGGGTTCTTCTGTGTACTGCCATTGTTCAGGACATGTCGACTGTCTGATATGTTGTACCCTATTTGCTACGTAAACATAGAAACGTCTGATATTCATTGTGTAGGTAGCCTAACACAATCTTGCTGTCTGTGTAGAACTTAACATTGTCAATGTTAAGGTCCAAGTTTCTCCTGACGATATTCGACACCTCTGCAGCCAAAACTGCGGAACACAGTTCAAGTCTTGGTATTGTTGTTCCATGCTTAGGTGCAACTTTGGCTTTTCCCATCAAGAGTCCCAGGTGAGAACTTCCATCTTGATAGACTGATCGCAAGTATGAAACTGCAGCTATAGCTCTTTCAGAGGTATCGCAGAAGGTATGTAGTTCTATTCTAATCGCCTTTTGAAAGGAGACAGGTGGAGTAAGCTCTTGGGATAAATATTTTTTCACATGCTGTTAAAGAATTTCTCCATTGCTCCCATTGTGCTCTATGGTTGTCGGATAGAGGTTCGTCCCAGTACACTGTTCCTAAGACAAGGTCGCGAAGAATAAGTTTGCCCTGTATGGTTACAAGGGCTATGAGTCCAAGGGGATCAAAAAGACTGCTTACGGTGGACAGCACAACACGTCGCGTTGAAGGAGTTTCCTTCAGGGAAACACGAAAGGTAAATGAGTTTGAATCGAGTTCCCAGTTTAGCCCAAGACTTCGTTGCATTGGTAAGTCATCTGAGTTAAAGTCTATGTTCTTGAGCTTCTTTGACAAGTCTTGTAGTGGTAAGTTAGCCATTACTTCTCCACTGTTGGATGCGAACTTGTGGAGACGGATCTTTCCCATATTCATCAAAGCATCCTTAGTTCTGGTGAGAAGGTTGATAGCTTCCACTGCGAATGGAACTGAGGTCAGAGCATCATCAACATAAAAGTTTCGTTGTAAGAACTTCTTCACGTCTTCTCCATATGTTTCAGATGCAATCTCCGCTGTCCTTTGTAGATCGTAGTTTGCAATGGCGGGTGATGGTTTGTTACCGAAGACACGGACCCGCATTCTGTATTCTATGATGTCCTTGTTGAAATCGTTATCTTCATACCATAGGAATGTCAGAAAGTTTCGATGATTTTCTCTCACTGTAAATGAGTAGAACATTTTCTGTATATCAGCCATAATCCCATTATGTTCAGTTCGGAAACGCAAGAGAACTCCAACCAGGCTATTAGTGAGATCTGAGCCTGATAACAGCACACTGTTTAATGACACACCTTCAAAAGTTGCTGAAGAGTCAAAAACACATCTTATCTCTCCCGGCTTCTTAGGATGGTAGATCCCATACACCGGAAGGTACCAGCATTCTTCTCCAGAACGAAGTGTAGGTGCAACTTCAGCAGGATTGTTTTCAAGAAGTTCACCTATAAATTCAAAG